TTGGAATGAGCAAAAAGAAGAAAAAATTGGCTGATAAAATATTACCCCAAAAAGTAAGGGATCTTGTTCCAGAATCACAAGCATACATGGATCTTTTGGCATTTGAAAGAAAATTAGATTCMACAATCATGAGAAAACGATTAGACATACAAGTAATATATTCTTAGTATCATCTTAAGTAATTGATGAATATTTACGTTTCAATATTATAATTATAGGAAGCATTGAAGCGCCCAATGAAACAAAAACGTAAATTACGTATATTTATATCAAACACATTTTATCCGGCAAAAGAACCTGGAGAAAATGAAGAAGGAAGTGTTGCTTCTTGGGAATTAAGAGTTGAAGGGCGTTTACTAGAAGATTCTAAAAATGAGCCAAATAAAGTAATATTTTATCAATAATTTATTTTTATTTAAATTTTACTAATTTTTAATATTTTAGATAAAAAGAAAATTTTCTTCTTTCTTTAAATCACTGGTCATTGAACTTGATAAAGATTTATATGGGCCTGATAATCATCTGGTTGAATGGCATCGAACYGCAACTACTCAGGAAACTGATGGATTTCAAGTATGTATTTACTTTCTTTCTTTTTTTTTAGGTAAATAATATTATTTAATTTAAGGTGAAACGGCCTGGAGATAAAAATGTACGCTGTACTATTTTATTGCTTCTTGATTATCAACCATTACAATTTAAATTGGACCAACGTTTGGCTAGACTGTTAGGTGTTCATACTCAAACCAGACCGGTTATTATAAGTGCTCTTTGGCAGTTTATAAAAACACATAAGCTACAAGTAAGMTACAATATATATATTTATATGTGCAAATATTTCAAACTAAATTGAATATAATTTTTAAGGATTCTCATGAAAAAGAATACATCAACTGTGACAAGTATTTGGAACAAATATTTAATTGTACTCGTATGAARTTTGCTGAAGTCCCACAGAGACTTAATAATTTACTTCATCCTCCTGATCCTATTGTTATTAATCATATCATAAGGTAAAATTTAATAATAATATATTTTTTGGTATTTTTTTCCAACTAATTAAATATAACTTTTAAGTGTTGAGGGTGTTGAACAAAAACAAACTGCATGTTATGATATTGATGTTGAAGTAGATGATACTTTAAAAGCACAAATGAATAATTTCTTACTATCCACTGCTAGTCAACAAGAAATACAGGTAATTTTCCATATAATATAACATATTATTTCTTATACCTATAATTCAATATTGTGTTTTTATTTAGAGCCTAGATAACAAGATTCATGAAACAGTTGAAACA